AGATGGTGCAGAAGCGAAGGTGGTCACGCCACAGGGACAGCGACACCAGCCAGGGTGGCAGCCCCACGCGCGTCCCACAGTCTGTGCTCATGGCAGGGGGCAGAGTATTAAACGTTAATCTTGCACGGCAAGACCCTTGGGCACGGGTCGGTGCTGGTGTTCACCACTGCTTGCTGCAGGCGTGGGGCCCTGGGGCTCTGCTGGCAGGTGTTTTTGGTTGGTTGGTTGGTTGGTTTTTAGTGGAACACCGTTCTGACTGGAACACCTAACAGACTAGTCAGACTTGGGAATCCAGCAGATGTTTTCTCAAAATTGAATGAAGCAAGCTTGTCCCATCAAAAATGGTGTCAGTGATAAAATTTGAGCTTTTTGAGCAAAAAAAAAAAAAAAACCTTCTGGAAACCTTGTTCCACCGTGTAGAGCCCGACAGCTTCCCAGGACTGAGAAAGAAGCGAGTGCGATCCTTGATAGTTCTTAGCGCCGAGTGGCAGCGTAGCTCAGTAAGCCAACGCTTCCCAGGGTGGAGCCTTCGAGACACCGCATAGCCAGAGAGAAGTTCATTGATGAAGGTTTCGGGTTCCACCTGCCAAGGAACCCTGAAGAAACTGCCGCTCGTCGTATTTGGGTGTAGTAGCCGAGCCGAATACCCACACAGACCCCAGCAAGCCGCTGAGCTCTGTCTCCTTGTCCACTACCTGTCAGCACCAGGCGGTTTCCTCCCTGCTCCCAGGGACAACCCAGGGCAGCCGGCTGGAGGCCAGGGAGATGCCAGCCGCGAGCCAGCTGCTCCTCCGAAGCTGGGTGCCGGAGAGATTTGCAAACACCTGACGTCGTTTTTACATCTTCACTCATTTTTTTTTGCCTTAGAAAATACAATTTATTTTTCATAACTCTTATTTATGTTAGTACCGTGTAATGGATTTCATTGCCTGTAAACATATGAACAGGTGTTTTCAGCACGTCTCAGTTTGAATTTCTGATACGGTCAATAATAATAATAGCTGTCACCCCCATCCCAAATTGAAACCTTCTGGAATCTTCAGTAGTTTCTAAGGGTGGACAGGCCTTCTGGGATCCGGAAGTCATCTGGCTGCCGCTCTTCTGGGCCCTAGGGAGCCGCCGCAGGCCTGTGCGCCGGGGGAGGGGGTGGTGGCATTCCGGCAGGACGCGGGTGACCCAGCTGGCCTCTCCCGGGCATTCTTGACTTTGGCATGAGCCAGGGCAGCTTGGGAAGGCCCCGTTGGCAGGGCCAACAGACCCAGAGTCCGGATCCCAGGTCAGCCACTTCTGAGCTCCGGCCTCCAGTCTCATAACCCTGGGACCTGTGAAACACTCCGCAGGTGTTTATTTGTACCCTTTCTGCTGAGCCGGTGCACTTAGCCGCCTCGGAGCCCCGGAGAACCTGTCGCTGGATGTGAGAGGCCATCAGGTGGCCGGCCGGCTACCTTCTCCATGGACCCTGTCCTGGTAGCTGAGTCTCCGGCCGCACTGGAACTGGCGGAGGCTCGGTTGGGCTGGCGCACAGCCTGGCTCTGTGGCCCCCGGGGTAAGAGGAGCCCGGAGGCTCAGATACCGCCCACCGGCCGCCTGCCTGCTGCAGGGCCTGGAGCCACCGCTGGGAGAGGAAGTGCAGTCGGTTACCAATCAAGCTATTTTCATAACGGCTGTCTCAGGCTGGGGGGAGGAGGGTGGTGAGGGGGAGGGGGCAGAGGAGCAGCCACTGCTGCTCACTCTCCAAACTAGGACTTGCTCAGCAGAGGCCGGCAGCCTGCAGCCTGCAGCTGGAGCGAGTCGGCCCACAGGGACCCCAGCCCCCACCTGCTTGCCCACCGCCCTGCCTTCCAGATCAGGTCAAAAGGGGCTTCTGCAACCCTTCCTTGTCCTCCCTTCCCCCCCTCCCTCCCTCCCTCCCGATTCTGTCTGCTGGCTCTGGGGAGGGGTGGCTCCGGGTGGGCCCGGACACCATGGTTCCCTAGATGAGAGCCTTGCTCTCCCAGGCCCCCAAAGCTGATGGAAAAGGGAGAGGGTTCGGTCATGTCATGGCCTGGCCCAGGCCCGCCTGCTCCCCCTGGGCCCGTTGCTCCTTGTTTTAGTCTTGGCAAGGTCCCCTTAGTGAGTAGAGGCCTGCAGAGGTCAGGACCCTGCCTCCTCTTCCCCACCACCGTGGGGCTGTGGGAGCAGAGTAGCCAGAGGTGACTTCTGGCCCGCAGTCCCCTGGGGAAGCGGCTCTGGGCAGGGGGATACAGTCACCCTGCGTAGCCTCCCCTGAGCTCTGCCCCCTGCCTGGGATGAGCGAGCTGGTGTTTCGTGGGAGTTCCTGCAGAGGCCTGACGCCAGGTGCGGAGCAGACCCCAGGTGCGCAGGCTGGCGGGCTCTGTTCCTCCGTGGTGGTGGCCGCCCTGGGCACTCCTGCTTCCCTTTGTGGGCTCCCTCCTCTGCTGTGGGCAGAGACCGACTCCCGGAGATGGCCGGACCCCAGGCCCTGGTGTCTGTGGATGTGCCCCCCGCCCCTGCCCTGCCCTGCCCGTGCTGTCTCCTGCCTCGAATCAGAACCTCTGAGTCTCTGGGACCCAGAAGGGTTGGTCAGCCCAGGGTGTGGCGGCAGGTGCAGGATTCCCGAGCGCTTGGGCTCTTCCATGTGCGACTGGCACTGGGCTGGGAGGCTGGGAGCCCCCTCTGGCCGGTGCCCAGGGAAGCCTTCAGGCCAGCTCCGCCCCACTGGCAGGTGCCTGTGCCCGCGGGTGTGCCTGGCCAGGCGCCTCTGCCCTCCACAGGCCCTGTGAGTCCTTGCCCGTCCTGTCCCCTTGGTAAAGCAGGCTTGGGGCAGCCATTTTGCTGTGCTGTTGGTGGCAGACCCTGCGGGGTCTCCTCTGGCGACCTGCACACCTCCTGGGGCATGTGTTGGGCTAGCAGGGGGGCGTGAGGGAGGCTGTAGACCCCGGCAGGGCTTCTGCTGAGACCCGGAGAAGCCCCTGTGGTCGGGATAGGAAGTGCGGAGTCAGGCGCCTGCTGACCAGAGAGTGGTTTCTATGGAGACGGAGGCACAGGAAGCATGGGCACCGGGGTCAGGACGCTGGGAGCCTTGCAGGACGGACAGTCCTGTGGACAGATGGGGAAACTGAGGCTGTGCACGTGGCCACGGTGCTGGCCTGGCTTGGGCCGCCTTGCTGTCTGCCGAGAGACTCCTGAGCAGATCTGGACTTGGGGCCCCCCAGCAGTGTGCCAATGGAGCACCCCTCAGCGGGGCTGTGCTGGCCGCCTCTGCTCCCTGGCCCCGTGGCCGTGGGTCTGGGGCAGCAGGCAGGGCCCGGCCCTCCCCACAGCACCTCCCCCACACTGACTGTGGCCTTTTGTTTTCTGGGTGACACTAGCATCAGGCGGTGTGTCCGGGTGACTAATCTCCTCCAGGCCAGGCAGCTGTCACCGGGTGGGGAGTGCTGGCCCAGGCTGTGGCAGCAGCGGGTAGCGGGCCTCATGCTGTTCTTGTCGGGACCCAGAGGGGACCCCCGGCCTGGCTTCCAGTGCTGGCTCTGCTGCGGATGTCCCGGAGCCCATGGGCGTGTTGCCGGGCCTCTCCAGGCCTCAGTCTCCTCATCTCTGTCCTGTCTTCCTCCTCGGGCAGTGGTGGGGAGCAGAGATGAGAGTGCCTAGCCTGTCACGCAATGGGTAGTTAGTGGGACTGTCAGTCTCCCTCCTCCAGGTCCCTTTCCTCCCCTCCCCAGCCAGCTGCTCCCCCCTCTCAGGTGCTGGGGGTGGGGCAGAGATCGAGTTCCCACACTGGCTCCTCACTGGCTGTCCCCGGCAGGACCAGTGTGACACAGCGGCTGTTCTTGGGGAGGTTGCGGCTGGCCGGCTGGTTCGAGTGTGTGTGGAGCGGGCGCTCCCTGCCCTTGGGACTGTCCTGCCCAGTTGGTCTGGTGTAAGGGGGCCACTTTTTTGGAGCCGAGAACTCTGCCCTGCCCTTCTGCTCATCAGCGGGACCTAGGGACTCGTCCCAGGCAGAGATCCGGAGCCAAGCAGTCTTGGGCCCTGCTTCTCCAGCCACGGGTGCCCCTCCCTCAGCACCCCTGCACCTGGTCTGAAGCTGCCGACGCCAGCCACGGGGCAAAGCAGAGAGTCGGGTGGGTTGGAGGAGCAGGCGCCATCTCTGGCCCCACGCTGGACTTCCCCCAGCACCTCGGCTGCCACCGCGCTGTCCCATGCTGGGACTTCCCTCAGCCTGTCGCAGCCTCAGGGCCCTGAGAACATCTGATGGAGGCTGCAGGTGGCCCTGGAACCCTGAGCCAGTCCCGGCTCCCTGCCCCTGCGCGACTGTTGGGCACACACCCCCCCCATGTGGGGGCCATGAGCCTGATGCCCTTGGCCAGTGGAGGAGGCGAGCGGGGCACAGCTTCAGCAAGGGTGGAGCCTCCGTGCGGAGGGAGCCGAGGGCTGCTTAGTGTCTGCATCAGGGCCCAGGACAGGGCGCAGGGCGGGGAGGGCCTCGGCCTGGGACGGGCATGCCCTGCCCTCCAGAAAGGCCGCACACAGCCCTTGTGTAGCCCACGTGCTTCCCGGGACTCCCACAGATGCGCAGGCGCGCCCCAAGCCTGGGGGCTGGGCGTTTGGCTGGAGGCCTGGGTGTCCCCTCAGTGAAGGGGGGGCGGCTCCTGCGGGTAAGCTGACCCCAGCTCCCTGAAGCCTGCTCTCCCGCCCCGGCGCCTTTGACCCCTGAGCCAGCACCAAGGGCCGGGAGGGTCTGGGTGATACCAGGCAGAGAGCCCTGTTTCCTTGTCGTAGCTTGGTGTGTGCCAGGAGGGGCAGCCTAACCTGCACAGGGCAAAGCCAGACGCCCACCCACAGCCAGGGGCAAGCCCTGGGCCCTCGGCCTGCTCTAGCTTCCGTTTTCCATCAGCTTCTGGCAAGGGCTGTGGGCCCAGGGCCCTGTGGATTACGGTGCCGGGCAGGGGAGGCCCCTCCTACCGAGAACTCCTAGGTGAGCATCAGGGCCCCCCTGAGAATACCCTGGTGGCCCAGATGCCCTGTTCCCGGAGGCCAGAGCCGTGGCTGCCCTCAGCCCTCCCTCCCCGGGTGCAGGCTGCGAGCAAGGCAGGGCCCGGCTCCTGATGCTGCTGGTCTCTGTGCCCTACAGCCGCCCGCCCGCCCTGGCCCATGGAGACCCTTAGGAGACACTTCCGGCGGCGGCGCGGGAGTGTGGGGCTGCCCACGGGCAAGGCCCGGCGCCGCTCCTCCGCGGGGCAGGCCTCCTCCTCGCTGGCTCAGCGGCGCCGCTCCAGCTCCAGCGCACAGCTCCAGGGCTGCTTCCTGGGCTGCGGGGTGGGTGCGCAAGGCAGCAGCCGCCGCCGCCGCTCCAGCACCGCACCCCCTGCCTGCAACCCCCGCTTCGCCGTGGAGGAGGTTCCCGGCCTACAAGCCACCGCTGTGGGGACCCGGCTGCTGGGGGCACCCCTGCTGTTGACTGGGCTTGTGGGCATGGAGGAAGAGGAGGAAGAGGGGGTCAAGGAGGAAGATGCGACAGCTGGCGCACCGAGTGCTGCGCAGCCACGCACCGCGACACCAGGGCGCCCCCGGCACTGGGGCGTCCGGCCACGGCTGCCCCTGCCACGTTGCCTGCGCCGGGCCTCCTCCCACCTGCTCCCTGCCGACGTGGTCTACGGCTGTGCCCTTTGGGGCCTGCATGGCTGCTACCGGCGCCTCAGCCAGCAGCGGCTCTCAGGCCAGCACCTCGGCCCGGGCGGTCGAAGAGCCTCGGGCGCGGCGGCGGGCTCCGTGGTGCCGGCCCGCGTGCGCCCCCTATGCCGCAGGCGCCAGGTAGCCCTGCGGCGCAAGTCAGCCGGAACCCAGGCGTGGAGCGCCCTGCTTGTGTAGGTACCGCCGCGGCCGGCGGAGCGAGTGGGCTCGTGCAGGGAGTCTCAAGGTCCTGCCGCAATGTGGGCAGAGACCCCAGGTGGGGCGGGAAGGAAGTGAGGTTCGTCTGGCCTCAGCTATCGTCTCCTCTGTAGGAAAGCCATCACCAAGTCCGGCCTCCCGCACCTGGCTCCTCCCCCGCCGGCCCCCGGGGCCCTGTGCGGCGAGTCTGAGCGGCAGATCCGGAGCACTGTGGACTGGAGTGTGAGTGGTGTGGCAGGCAGAGGGGGCGGGTGTGCCGGAACGTGCTCTGGGCGGCCAGGGCAGGAGCCCGTGGGCCTGTGCGGTCCCGGCAGTCCTGGGGTGGGGGGTACCACCTTTGAGCCAAGCCTTAAGAGTAGGGACAGTGGGGAAGAGGGGACAGCCTAGCAGAGGGTGGTGGCTGGAGCGAGAACGTCATGGGCGAGAGAAGCGTGGCAGGGCGCATGGCGGGGCCGAGCTGCCTGCAGGCGCTGAGCACGTTTGCCCCGTGGTCTAGGAGTCAGCAACGTATGGGGAGCACATCTGGTTCGAGACCAACGTGTCGGGAGACTTCTGCTATGTTGGGGAGCAGTACTGTGTAGCCAAGATGCTGGTGAGTGCCTGCCCTGTGGCCTGCTGCCCCCTGGCGGTAGAGCAGGGTCTGACTCCTGCTGGCCTGGGGAAGGTGGAAACCAGCTCTCTCCCCTGAGCGCGCTGCCGGTGGCCAGGGGAATGGGGCTTTTGTCCTGATGCCAGGCACCAGGCGGGGGGTCCCCAGCGCACGTGGAGGGGCAGCGCTGGGCCAGATGCAGAGGATTTCTCTGCCTGCCCTGAGGCCGGGTCCGGCTGGAATGACCTGCAGCCCCCTCTCTCTGTCCCGCAGCAGAAGTCAGTGTCGCGGAGAAAGTGCGCAGCCTGCAAGATCGTGGTGCACACCCCCTGCATTGAGCAGCTGGAGAAGGTAAGTGGCTGCTCGGACCTTCCCGCCTTCCCCTTTGGGCACCGAAGCCCTGGTAGCACATACAAGTGTGTGCACGTGCGTGTGCGCTTTGCACGTACACCGCCTGCCAGGAGTGATCCAGCAAGCGTGGAACCAAGGGCTCAAGGACCCTGGAACCAAAATGCCCCTGCCCACCGCCCCGCGCTGTGTCCTCACTGCCTGGAGCAGGGCTGGCACGGAGAGGGCTTAGTGCACAGTGCGGTGTGTTGATGAATGACGGACGGCCCCTGTGCCTTTGTGGTCATCCAAACTGTGCCTGGCAGATTGATTCCCTGTGGCTGGGCTTGTCCGGTGTCACTCCCAAGCCTGGCTCTGCCGCCTCCACGCTGCCTCTGTAGAGATCTTCCTCGCAAGGCCCTGTCCACGGCGGGTCAAGCCAGAGGTCGTGGGGTTGCGGGGCAGACCAGGGCTCCCCCGCCTACACGAACCTAGGCCAGCCCTCAGCAAAGCCCTTAGCGCTGGGAAGGGCACGAACAAGGCCAGCGTGGCTGCCTCCCTGGCCCCCGTACACCTCTTCTGGGCTGGGCCAGGGACCAGGACCAGTAAGAAAAGTAGACACACAGTCCCAGGCGTCGTGGAGCCCTTCGGCTGGGGTGAGAGCTGAGCCAGGGCTCAGCGAGTCAGCACCCGGTCAGCTCGGTGTGTGGCAGGAACCGGTGGCTGCATTGTCCAGGCTGGGGTGCAGGAGGGTGAGGAGAGGCAGAGGATGAGCCCCCCGGGGCCCCCTTTCATGGGGAGACAGACAGGGAACTCCTCCCTCCCTCCCTGGCCCTGGGCAGAGGAAGGAGAGGACCCTGTGGCTGGTGGGCAGGGGGACTTGAGGGGGCGTCCCGTGCTTGGAGGGCTCCCAGGGGAGACTTGGGGTACAGCTTACTGTGAGGATGACTCTGGGTGACCCCGGACTGGCCAGATGCCTTGACCCCAAAGGAAAGTCCCAACCCTTTGGTGGTCACTGCGTTGTTCCACAGATAAATTTCCGCTGTAAGCCATCCTTCCGGGAATCGGGCTCCAGGAATGTCCGGGAGGTGAGTGGACCTCCCTGCAGTGCTGCCCCGGGCCACCAGGGGGCCCCAGCTCCCCGGGCAGGGGAAGGGCCGTGGGGGTGAGGCTGGCTGGCCTGTGGGGGCTGGCGCCTGCTGCTTCCCTCTGTCCCCCGTGGCTCAGCCGCGCCTCCTCACCTCATGCCCCCAGCCCCCAGCCCTCCCTGGTGGACCACGGGCTGCAGGCCGCCCCTCCCCGCTCACTGCAGTAACCTTTCTCCGCTCCCCAGCCAACCTTCGTGCGGCACCACTGGGTGCACAGGAGGCGCCAGGACGGCAAGTGTCGGCACTGTGGCAAGGTGAGGGCTCCACCCGGTGCAGGTCCATCGCTGGCTGTGGCCGCAGAGCCCCAAGAGGGCGCTCAGTCTGCCTGCCCTGACGCGTCCGTCCGCTCTTGTCCCTGGGCTGAGCAAGGCAGGAAGTTCTCTCCGCGGATGTTTGCCGCACAGCTGTGGCGTGCCCAGCTGTGCAGTGAGCCCCTGCCCCGCTGCGGGGGGACCTGTGCAGCGCCTCCCAGAGCCCCTGTGAGCCTGTGCGGGTCTCCCAGACGCCCACGGGGGCGTCGTTCGCTTCCTTGCCTCCATTTTTTTTTTCTTTTAAAGATTTATTTATTTATCTATTTTGAAAGGGAGAGGGAGAAAGGGGTATCTTCCATTCTCTGGTTCAGTCCCTCAATGAAACCAGGAACAGAAACCTGGACTACCATCCAGGTCTCCCACATGGGTGCAGGGGCCCACGCACTTGGGCCATCTTCCACTGCTTCCCCAAGTGCATTAGCAGGGAGCTGGATGAGAAGAGGAGCAGCCAGGACTCGAACCGGCGCCCATATAGGATGCCGGTACTGCAGGCTTGTCGCACTGCCTCAGTGCCAGCCCCCATGCCCCTGCTCGTCTGGCCCCTCAGTCAGCGTCAGCTCTCAGGGGCACTTCTCTGTTAGGTTTTTTTTTTTCCCCTAATTTTGGAAAAGGGCTCCATTTCCTGGGGGAAGGGAAGCTGGCAGCCGAGGAGGGCCCGGCTGTGTGGCCTGGCAGCCCCCGGCGCCCAGCCACCCCTCTGCCCCCCAGGGCTTCCAGCAGAAGTTCACCTTCCACAGCAAGGAGATCGTGGCCATCAGCTGCTCCTGGTGCAAGCAGGCGGTGAGTGGTGCGCCCCGGCTGCCCCTGCCCCCGGCGGGTCCGCAGCCCCCGGCTCTCCACTCAGCCTCCCCGTGCTCTGCTCCAGTACCACAGCAAGGTGTCCTGCTTCATGCTGCAGCAGATTGAGGAGCCGTGCTCGCTGGGGGTGCACGCGGCCGTGGTCATCCCGCCCACCTGGATCCTGCGTGCCCGGAGGCCGCAGGTGAGTGCCGCGCGCTCGGGCGGGCCCGGAGCCGCCAGCCCGGCCTACCCACCGTGCCGCCACGGCCCCTGCTTCCCTTGCAGAACACCCTCAAGGCAAGCAAGAAGAAAAAGAGGGCGTCGTTCAAGAGGAAGTCCAGCAAGAAGGGGCCCGAGGTCAGGGCCAGGGCCGGCGGGGGTCGGGGGCACAGCGTGGGCTCAGCAGGCCCCAGGTCCCTGAGGGTGCGCCCAGGGGAGAGGGGGGACGAGAGGGCGGGGACCTCAGGGCTGGGAAGAGCCTCACAGACCCTGTGTCTCCCAGGAGGGCCGCTGGAGGCCCTTCATCATCAGGCCCACCCCGTCCCCCCTCATGAAGCCCCTGCTGGTGTTTGTAAACCCCAAGAGTGGGGGCAACCAGGTGAGTGCAGCCTCCCCACCCCCTCGCCGGGCCCGTCGCCGGAGGCTCCGCCTGCAGCACGCCCTGTCCCTCGCAGGGCGCCAAGATCATCCAGTCCTTCCTCTGGTATCTCAACCCCCGACAAGTGTTTGACCTGAGCCAGGGAGGGCCCAAGGAGGCGTAAGTACCCGCAGGGCAGGGCAGGGCGGAGTTCAGAGGTCATCCAGCTCCCAGGCCGCAGCTCAGATCCCAACCTGTTCCTGTCGTCCCCCCCCCCACCCCCCAGGCTGGAGATGTACCGCAAGGTGCACAACTTGCGCATCCTGGCGTGTGGGGGCGACGGCACGGTGAGTTCTCTGGGGGCTGGGGGCGTGGCACATGAGGTCAGCGTGCCCTGCCCGCTCTGCCTGAGCCGCCTCTGCCATGCTGTCCTCCAGGTCGGCTGGATTCTCTCCACCCTGGACCAGCTGCGCTTAAAGCCGCCACCACCTGTGGCCATCCTGCCGCTGGGCACCGGCAACGACTTGGCGCGTACCCTCAACTGGGGCGGGGTGAGCACCCTCAGCAGGGGTGGGCATGTGGCCGGGAGCTGGGGGCGGGGGTCTCAACCTCAGCAGGGGCTCAGGGGCTGCCTCCTCCCACCAGGGCTACACAGACGAGCCCGTATCCAAGATCCTCTCCCACGTGGAAGAGGGGAACGTGGTGCAGCTGGACCGCTGGGACCTCCGCGCTGAGCCCAACCCCGAGGCCGGGCCAGAGGAGCGAGACGAGGGTGCCACTGACCGGGTGGGTCCGCCAGGGTTCCCAGCCGGGGTGCTGGGACACGGGGTGGTCCCTGCCTCCAAACCTCGCCGCTTACTCTGAGCTTGGGAGTCGTGGTCATTGACTTTAAGATTTAGTTATTTGGCCGGCGCCGCGGCTCACTAGGCTAATCCTCCACCTAGTGGCGCTGGCACACCGGGTTCTAGTCCCGGTCGGGGGGCCGGATTCTGTCCCGGTTGCCCCTCTTCCAGGCCAGCTCTCTGCTGTGGCCAGGGCGTGCAGTGGAGGATGGCCCAAGTCCTTGGGCCCTGCACCCCATGGGAGACCAGGAGAAGCACCTGGCTCCTGCCATCGGATCAGCGCGGTGCGCCGGCCACAGCGCGCCGGCCGCAGCACGCCGGCCGCGGTAGCCATTGGAGGGTGAACCAGTGGCAAAGGAAGACCTGTCTCTCTGTCTCTCTCTCTCACTGTCCACTCTGCCTGTCAAAAAAAAATAAAATAAAATAAATTAAAAAATAAAAAATAAAAAAAAGTATGTCCAAAAAAAAAAAAGATTTAATTATTTATTTGAAAGACTTACAGAGAGAATCTTCCATCCGCTGGTTCACTCCCTAGGCATTTGCAGTGGCTGGGGCCGGGTCAGGCCAAAGCCAGGAGTTTTTGGGTTTTTTTGTTTTCTTTTAAATATTTATTTACTTATTTGAAGGGCAGAGTTACAGAGAGAGGTATTCCATCCACTGGTTCACTTCCCATATGGCTGCAACGGTAGGGGCTGGGCCAGGCTGAAGCCAGGAGCCAGGAACTTCTTCGGGGTCTCCCATGTGGGTGCAGGGGCCCAAGCATTTGGGCCATCCTCCCCTGCTTTCCCAGGCACATTAGCAGGGAGCTGGACTGGAAGTGGAGCAGCCGGGACACGTACCGGCATCCATATGGGATGTGGGTGCTGCCGGGCCCGCCGATGGGTGTTCACTCGGCCACTTGGCAGATCCCTGCCGGGCACCTGCTGCCTGCTGGGCACCGTTCTAAGCAGCGTACACTGTGGCGTCCGTACACAGCGTGTCTGGGAGCAATGCGGGGAGAGGGGCTGGCCGGGCGCTCAGAGGGGCTCACCCGGCAGCTGGGCGAGCTTCGGTGCGGTCTGTGAGCCGTGCCAAACGCCTCTGAGAACGGCTCCCCGGGCCGAGCGAGCGTGGAGCTGCTGGGGGGCCCCGGGGAGGGCACGGCTGCCGGGCCCGGCCCTCATGTTGGGCCCTCTGCCTCTTCCCAGCTGCCCCTGGATGTCTTCAACAACTACTTCAGCCTGGGCTTCGACGCCCACGTCACCCTGGAGTTCCACGAGTCCCGAGGTGGGCAGCCTCCTGCTGCAGGAGGCAGGTGGGGGGTCTCCGGAGACTGGGGATGGGGGGTCCAGGGGCGTCCATGGGAAAGGGCAGACCTCACGTGCCCACAGCACGAGCCCAGCAGCTCTGGCAGGCTCAGCGCGATGGACTGCCCCCATTTCTTGTCTCCACCCAGAGGCGAACCCTGAGAAGTTCAACAGCCGCTTTCGGAACAAGATGTTCTATGCCGGGGTGAGCGGGGCCGCCAGCACGCCTTCCCCGGACCCTGGGCTGTGAGGGGTGGCCCCTACCCCCGCCCCCCACCTCCCGCCTCCGACACTCTCTCGTCCCACAGACAGCCTTCTCGGACTTCCTCATGGGCAGCTCCAAGGACCTGGCCAAACACATCCGGGTGGTGGTGAGTGGGGGCCGGGTAGTGGTGAGTGGGGGGCCGGGTGGTGGTGAGTGGGGGAGGGCAGATGTGGGGGCAAGTGGTGGTGAGTATGGGTGTGGGTGGTGCTGAGTGGGGGGGGGCGGGTGGTGGTGAGTTAGGGAGGGCAGCTGGTGGTGAGTGGGGGAGGGCAGGTGGGGGGCCGGGTGGTGGTGAGTGGGGGGCGGGTGGTGATGAGTTGGGGAGGGCAGGTGGGGGGCCAGGTAGTGGTGAGTGGGGGCCGGGTGGTGGTGAGTTGGGGAGGGCATGTGGGGGGCCGGGTGGTGGTGAGTGGGGGAGCCCAGTGGGGCGGAAGGCCTCCCCGGCGCAGCGTCCCTGAACGCCACCCCTTCCTGCCGACAGTGCGACGGGACGGATCTGACCCCCAAGATCCAGGACCTGAAGCCCCAGTGCATCGTTTTCTTGAACATCCCCAGGTGAGGGGGCGGGCGCCAGGCGGGCCCTGTGGTGCCGCGCATCAGACACAGGAGCCGTCCGTCACCTCCCCCAGGTACTGCGCGGGCACCATGCCCTGGGGCCACCCTGGGGAGCACCATGACTTTGAGCCCCAGCGACACGATGACGGCTACCTCGAGGTCATTGGCTTCACCATGACGTCTCTGGTAAGTGGCCTGGCCCCGTGGCCGCAGCGCCTGGGAGTGCAGCCTGAAGATGGAAGTGGGGTCACCCCCTCCCCCCTTCTCTGGCTCAGGTCTCGCCCTCCCTGCCTCTGTCTGCAACCTCTGGGGTCCCCCCCCCCGCCGCCCTCCTCTCTGACTAGGTTCTCACCTTCCCCTCCCCTCTGTTGACTGGGGCCCCCACTCCGCGCTGTACGGGGGTCACTCTGGGCTCCATGCTCCCTGGAAGGAGCAGCGCCCGGGCCCCCCCTGACCCGTGCCTCCCGCGCCCACAGGCCGCGCTGCAGGTGGGCGGGCACGGCGAGCGGCTGACACAGTGCCGCGAGGTGCTGCTCAGCACGTCCAAGGCCATCCCGGTGCAGGTGGACGGCGAGCCCTGCAAGCTGGCGGCCTCCCGCATCCGCATCGCCCTGCGCAACCAGGCCACCATGGTGCAGAAGGCCAAGCGGCGGAGCGCCACGCCCCTGCACAGCGAGTATGCCCCTCCCCCCCCCCCCGTCAGTCCCTGCGGCCGGGGGGGGGGGGGGGGCCTGCAGGGCCGCCGCTGAGGCCCCTCTCGCCGACCCTGCCCACAGCCAGCAGCCGGTGCCCGAGCAGCTCCGGATCCAGGTGAGCAGAGTCAGCATGCACGACTACGAGGCCCTGCATTACGACAAGGAGCAGCTCAGGGAGGCTTGTGAGTGGCAGCGGGGCTGGGCCGGGGAGCGGGAAGGGCAGCCGGGTGCCCAGGGCCCCGCCAGCTGCTGACACGGCGCTCCGTCCTCCAGCTGTGCCGCTGGGCACCGTGGTGGTCCCAGGAGACAGCGACCTGGAGCTCTGCCGAGCCCACATCGAGAGGCTGCAGCAGGTAGGGAGTGCGGGCCGGCCGCCTCCGTGCTGCCCCTGCCCGGCCGGCTCCTGACCCGCCCCGCCTTGGCTTCTCTCCCGGCAGGAGCCCGAAGGTGATGGAGCGCAGTCCCCCGTGTGCCAGAAACTGTCCCCCAAGTGGTGTTTCCTGGACGGTGAGTCCGCCCTGGGACGTTGGCTCCTGGCAGGCCCAGCGCTGGCCTGCTCTGTCTGGGGGAGCCCAGGTTGGGGCAGCAGAGGCCCTGGGCCTGCACAAGGACCTCCCTCGTGCTCAGCAACCCTCTCTCCCGCAGCCACCACTGCCAGCCGCTTCTACAGGATCGACCGCGCCCAGGTAAGACTCAGCAGGTCTGCTGCGGCCACGGCTGGTCCCCACCCACCACCCCTGGTCAGCTCCCCCTGGTGGGTGGGCTCACCCTGGCCCCCGGGCCCTGGCCCAGCCCTCCATCTCTGGAGAGCACAGGGTTGGCACTAACAGAGACCAAGAAGGAGATGGCCAGGGCCAGGTCCCCTGGGGACAGGCTTGGCAGTGGGAAGAGGCTGGTGGGCCCAACGCATAGGCGCCCACGACGACAAGGCATGGGGAGGCGGGGAGGGGGAGCAGGACTGGCCTGGCCCTTCCCCGGCCACCCCCTCCCACGCGTGTGCTCGTAGTGGAGGCTTTCTCGGGTCTGCACCTCGTCCCCCGCCGTCAGGGGTCCTGGCAGGCCCTGAGCCTCAGCCTTGACCCTCGGCCCTGACTTCCCCCACAGGAACACCTCAACTACGTGACTGAGATCGCACAGGACGAAATCTACATCCTGGACCCCGAGCTGCTGGGGGCATCGGCCCGGCCTGACCTGCCAACCCCCACCTCCCCACTCCCCAACTCACCCTGCTCACCCACGCCCCGGTGAGTCCCGGCCCGCCCTCCCCCGGCTGGCTGGCTGCTGCGGGCCAGGCCCGGGCTTCCTCCCGCTCCCCGTCCCACCACTCCCCAGCTCTGTACACCCTGCGTCCACTCCTGGAGCCCCACGCCGTGGTGCCGCCCGCCCCGCAGCCGCCCTGTGCTCTGGGCAGCACTCCCCGCTGCCCAGAACCCCTTATTTATTTGCTGTCTGGGTGCGCTAGACTGTGAGCTCCATGAGAGCGAGGTCTTGTTCCCTGCCTGTACCCCCAGGGCCTAGAACAGTGTGTAGCCGGCGCTCAATAAAGTGTTGAAAGTGTGAAGGACGCCACCTGTCGGGGCGGGGAGGGTGGCAGGCACGCAGGGCTGAGCGCGGTCACAGCTCATCCTGCTGAGCGCGGTCACAGCTCATCCTGCTTTGTTTGCAGGTTACTGCAAGGGGACGCCGCGCCCCCTCCAGGTGAGGCCTCTCTCCCTCCAGGGCCCCTCTTTCTCCGTGGGGGTAGGAGTGAGGCTCAGGGGGAGTGGCCCCCGTCATACACAAACTGCCCCCGAGCCTGTGTGGTCTCCCCGCGGTCACGTTCACGCACAGGCCCCACCCCGGGCACACAGGCCCCAGCAGGCACGCATCTCTGCACAGTGCTGCATCACACACGTGACCGCAGCATCCAGGCCTGGCTGTGGCCCCGGCGTGACGGGCGGGTGTTCTGTGCAGGTGAGGAGCTGATTGAAGCCGCCAGGAGGAACGACTTCTGCAAGGTACCAGCTCCAGGCTGCAGCCGCTGCCCCTCGGCAGCCCCCTCTGGCCCTGGGGAGTGGGGCCCGTTCAGGTGCTGTCATGGGTGGCATCGGCACTCTGCAGGGTCCCCATAGCAACTGTCTCATTCCACCCATCCCTGGTGTAGCCAGAAAGCTTGGTTGTCCGTGCCACTGGGGTGAGAGAGGCCTCTGATCTCTCCAGTGAGACCCCCAGAGGGAGTGCTGTGGGTGAGCAGGAAGGAGGGGCGGCCGGAGGGGGCCCAGCCCTGCTCTGCCTCCTGCCCTCAGCTCCAGGAACTGCACCGAGCGGGAGGCGACCTCACGCACCGCGACGGGCGGAACCGCACGCTGCTGCACCACGCAGTGAGCACTGGCAGCAAGGACGTGGTCCGCTACCTGCTGGACCACGGTGAGCGGGTGCCCCTGGGCTCAGGGGGCGGGGGAGGGAGGCTGGCCGCTCTGACCATCCCCTTGCCCCCTCCAGCCCCTCCAGAGATCCTCGATGCCGTGGAGGAAAAGTGAGTATCTGGCGCTGCAGGACCCTGGGTGCCCTGGAAATCCGCCCTGCCCTCCCCCAGTGCCTGCCCTGCTCCCCCCCATTTGGCCTATCATCCTCTGGGCAATGCCCCTGGCCCCAGGGCCCTGGATCTCCTGCCCTTTCTGATGCCGCTGGGAGCCAGGAGGGCCGGGGGAGTCACCAGCAGCCCCTGCCTCGCAGTGGGGAGACGTGTCTGCACCAGGCGGCCGCCCTGGGCCAGCGCACCATCTGCCACTACATCGTGGAGGCCGGGGCCTCCCTCATGAAAACGGACCAGCAGGTGAGCGGAGCTGCGGGCCGACCTCTCCCAGACCTGGGAGCCAGGCGGGGGTGGGGCTTAGGAATTTGAAACTGTCCAGACCCCCGGAGAAACCCGAGCCCGAGGCAGCCCGGGAGGAGCCAGTGGGCTGGCCTCTGTCTCACCCTGCTGGGCCCGCCCCCTCCCCCAGGGGGACACACCCCGGCAGCGCGCCGAGAAGGCTCAGGACACGGAGCTGGCCGCCTACCTGGAAAACCGGCAGCACTACCAGATGGTCCAGCGGGAGGACCAGGAGACCGCCGTGTAGCCGCGAGGCCCTCCCCGGGCACAGGGGGCACCGACCAGCCAGAGGAGCAGCGCCCTCCCTGCCCGCCTCACTGCCACATTCCAGTCGCATGGCCGCGGGGGGACCCGTGTCCCAGGGAAGGAGCCCCGTGCTGCGCCCACCCAGGGCAGGACTCTGAGGAGCACGGGGGCGGGGGGGGGTCACCTGTCCACCTCCGCACACACCCAGATCCCAGCCTAACCCGGAGACTCGCAGGGAATTAGGAAACGGGTTGGGCTGGACGGGCCTGTGCAGGGGCCGGGGCTGGGCCCTTCTGGACAGGGGATGCCCGGCTTGGACGTCGGGGCGTGGCCTGCGGCCGGGGCGGGGCTGGGGGCTGGAGGCCCCTCCTGGGAGGCTTGGGGCTGAGGTTCCCCAGGCACCTGGCGTCCAGCGCCCCGCTCCTGCACGACCCCCCTCCCGGGCTTCTTCCCGGAGACTCTGAGCCCGCTGCCGTCGCCTGCCCGCTGCCCTGCTTGGCACCCGCCCCGTGACCCTCCCCAGCACCCAGGCGTGTCGCCGCGGACTGCGTGGCCAGGGGTGGGGGCGGGGCTCTCACGGTGACATGTTTACAGCTGGGTGTGACTCAGTAAAGTGGATTTTTTTTTTCCCTTTCTGCTTTTCTGTCTTTGGGGGGGGGGTCCGCCGCGTTATCCTCGCGCGCGGGGGGGGGGGTGGGGGTGGGGCTCCCGGCCTCCTGGTCCCTGCCTGGGGGTGGAGTCCGAGGGCCTGCCGGGTTCCTGACCTCTGCCCGGCTGCGGAGTCTGGAGGGGCCGGGGGCGGAGCTGGTTCCTGCAGCTTCCCGCTTCCCGCTGGGACCATAACAATGAAAGTGAAAGAGGTGGGGCGGGGGGCCCGGCCGCGGAGCTACGGCCCTGCAGCCTCGAGCAAGCCCCCTCCCCCAGGCCCGTGGCGGAGGTGGGCGGGGCACAGCAGAGGAGCCCCCTGAGGCCGCGGGGTCCGAGGCGCTGGACGTTCGTTCGCAGACGCCGCCTGGCCGCGCCTGGAACTTCTCAGACGGCTGCTGTCACTTCTCCAAGTTTCACCAAACCGGGCGCGGGGGCTCCTCCTCCCCAACGCCCCCCTCCGCCCCTCAAACCTGCGCTCCGGGAAGGGCGCGTGCGCCCTGCGCGTCCCTTTGGCGCCCCTTCTCCCAGGTGCGGGGCCCGCGCTCCGCCGGCCGCCCAGCATCTCCTTGCCCACTTGGGGGACGGCCCGAGGTGCGGGCCGGCGCTGAGGGGCCGAGGCGGCCTGGGAGGCAGAGCGGGGCCTCGCGGGGACCGGCGCCCCGAGCCCTCCAGAGGCGTGAACGGCCGGGACGCGGGCGCCCGGCAGGGATAGGAGACGGCCCAGGGTCGGGGGCAGGGGGCCGGGACGGGAAGCTGGGGCTGGGGGCTCAGAGTGTCGGGGGCCGGGAGAGTCCGGCGTCTGAGACCTGAGGCCAAGCCGATCACCTCCGGGAAGCCGGGTCGCAGCCTGGGGGGCGCGGGGCGGGAGCGGAGGCGGGGATCGGGGGGCGGCGCGGGTTTGAGGGGAGGGGGCGGGGCGGGTTCTTCCCCGGTGGGGAGAGGAGGGGAGGGGGCGGGGGCCCATGTGACCGGCTCAGACCGGTTCTGGAGACAAAAGGGGCCGCGGCGGCCGGAGCGGGACGGGCCCGGCGCGGGAGGGAGCGAAGCATCGCCGGCAGCGAGCGAGTGAGCGCGCGGGGCGGCGGTGGACGCGCGGCGCCCGCGGCCCGGGGATCTAGAGGCGGGGGTCGGGGGTCGGGGTCTGAGCTGCAGCGCAGACTCGAGGCATCCCCCAGGGAGATGCCTCCTCGCGGGGCAGCCCGAAGTCCTCCGTCCCACCGCCGCCACCTTAGCGGCCTGGAAAGTGGGGCTAGTGGGGCTGGGCGGCGTAAGCTCACGGGCCCCCTCCCCGGGGACCGGGGCTGGGCGAGGGACTCTGACCCGTGTTCTCCCCCCCCCCCCCCAGGATGCAGCACCGAGGCGTCCTCCTCCTCACCCTTCTCGCCCTGCTGGCGCTCACCTCCGCGGTGGCCAAAAAGAAAGGTGACGGGAACATACGTGGCAGGGAGGGGTCGCCGAGGGAGGGCCGGGGCCGGGAAGGTGAGGCCCGCCACTTCGGGGCTGGCCACCTGGGTCGTGAGCCCGGGACTCCAGCCTAGGCGGTCCCCGCGTGAACCCCGCGCCCGGTGCGTTGCAGACAAGGTGAAGGGCGGCCCGGGCAGCGAGTGCGCCGAGTGGACCTGGGGCCCCTGCACCCCCAGCAGCAAGGACTGCGGCGTGGGTTTCCGCGAGGGCACCTGTGGCGCCCAGACACAGCGCATCCGGTGCAGGCTGCCCTGCAACTGGAAGAAGGAGTTTGGAGGTGAGTTGGGGAGGGGGGCGCAGGGGAGGGCAGGAAACGAGGTGCGGGGGGCGGGGCGGAACCTCGCTGAAACCTCGGCTGACCTCGGCCCCGGGCGCTCTCTCCCGCCAGCGGACTGCAAGTACAAGTTTGATAGCTGGGGCGCGTGTGATGGGGGCACGGGCACCAAAGCCCGCCAAGGCACCCTGAAGAAGGCTCGGTACAATGCCCAGTGCCAGGAGACCATCCGCGTGACCAAGCCCTGCACCCCCAAGACCAAAGCCAAGGCCAAAGGTCGTGGTGGGGGGAAGGCTGGGGGGTGGGCACAAGACCTGGCTGCCACTTGGGAGGGCAGGAGCCAAGTCTGGAGCTCTGGGTCCCTGCCAGTGACTTGGTGACACCTTAGAGCTGCAGGTACCAGAGAGTGGCCCTGGGAAGAAGTGCAGGCTGTTGGCACATCTGGCTTAGGGTTCCGCGGGCACTGTCCCCGCAGGCTTGTCTTTGTCACCCCTGCGGCCAGAGGCAGCATCTGGCCCTGCCACGCTCAACCACGCTGCCTGTGGCTCTTAGCTCCATCCGCCTTGCAGCAGCCCCGGGGGGAGCAACAGGGCTGCTGGGACCAACCCTGGGCTTGGGAGCCTGGTTTTCCGGTGGCAGGTAGAAAGCTAGGACTGGGGATATCCCGACATCATCATGGCCGCCCAGTCCCACCTGCTTCCGGGTTGGCTTCCCGGAAGCCACCAGGGGGCAGGATTGTCAATGGGTGTGTAGGGGGTGGGGGCTCTACCTGGCCACCTCTGCTCTGCTCATGCGTGTTTCCTGTTTTACAGCCAAGAAAGGGAAGGCAAAGGACTAGAGGCCAGACTGGGAAGCCCAGGAGCCCCGGCCTCACCTGGGGCCCCGCCATGGGCGCCCTCCCATGGGCCGAAGATGGAACCCACCAGTGCCTTTGTCTATGCTTAGCTTTATCAATCACGCCCTGCCTCTTCCCTGTCCCTCCCCCACACACCCCCAAGTGCCCAAAGTGGGGAGGGACAAGGGATTCTGGGAGCTCCCCCCCAAGGGATTTGACTCCCACCACCCCCTGTTGTCCCCCCCTCTATGAAATGTTACTAAGAAAACAAATAAACCAACTTTTCCCAATAAAATCTTTCTTTTTTAATATATAAAAGCCCCTCTCTGGGGAGTTGGCTGTGGAGCTTTGTTTTTGGGGACTGGTGGTTATAAGGCCTGGGGGCTTGGTGGCAGGTGCCCCCCAGGGCTCATGGAAAAAGCAAAAATGGAAGCGCTCCCCCCACCGAGCCCAGCCCTCTAAGCCTGGCTGGCCTCAGCTCTCCCAGGCTGGGGCGGGGCCGGGGGGGGGGGACCTGCAGCTCTCAGCTGGAGATGGCAGAAATGGGGGTTGCATACTCACTGAAGCCCGGGGGTCCACAGGCCTCCCCCATACCCCTGCAGAAGCCAGAGCGAGGCTCAACGGGGGCAGGTGGAAACCCTGGCCACAGCCACCGCCACTGCACCCGGACTCCTGTGGTTGGGGACAATCCCCGGGAGAGGTGGGCCACTCAGCTCAGCCTGGAGCTACAGGAGGCTGAGACTGGTTCCTGAGTGTGAATCCTGGCCTCCCTGATGCCCCAGCTGGATGTGACCGGCAGGACTGGGGGCGGGAGGGGGAGGTGGCTGGCCGCTTCGTGCCTACCATCCATCCAGCGCCTGGCTGAGGAGCTGCCGCTGGGGGAGATTCCTGCCCCTGGGGTGAGATGTGGGGAGGGGGCTGAGCTGACATGCAGGGTGCAAGGGGGCGGAAAGCACCGATGACAGCAGAACAGGGGACCCCACCCTTCCGCTCCCCCTGGAGCCCAGCACCTCGGCTCTTCCCTAGTCTAGTCTCTAGACTGCTGCCGCCCAGCCGGACACCATGGGGCAGGTGCACCTCCCAAGCCTGGGCGGTGGAGATGGGCCAGGGGAGGTCCCAGTTCAGACACTCCTGGGGCTGAGCCATCCTCAGCCTGGGCCGAGAGATCCGGCCTCCGGATGCAGCCAGATCTGCTTCCTGAGCCTCACGCGGTCTCAAGAGCCTCAGGCCTCTTCAGCAACCGTGACCACAGAGCGGTGCCTCCAGCTGTCTCGCCCACAGCAGGTGAGCCGTGTGGTCCCCCAGCACACACACGCGACACCAGCCCCTCCTAGGGCACCGCTGCCTGCCTACCTGGCAGTGCCGATGTTCCGATACTGGCACAGCAGCAGGTGCCGGAAGGTCTTTTTAAAGGTGGCGTTGCAGAGCGCATAGCAGGCGGGGTTGATGGTGCTGTTGACGTAACAGAGCCAGTAGCCGATGGACCACACTGTGTCGGGGATGCAGCTCTGGCAGAAGGTGTTCACCAGAACCATGACGTTGTAGGGAGTCCAGGTGAGGATAAAGGCCAGCAGAATGGCAAAGATGGTCCGAGTCACCTTGCGCTCCCGGGCCGCCATCTGCCGCTTTTTGCGCACTTGGTTGCGAGCGATGCTGGCAAACTTGCGGGCCACGTTGGCCGCCGGACGCATGCCAGCTGGCGTGGCAGGCACAATCTCGATGGCTGTCACACACTCGTTGCCTGTCTGCTTCGTCACAATCTGGATCTTGGACCACTTGGAGGCCGGGTTGAGGGTCCTTGGTTGCAGGGGCGGGGCGGACATGGCAGGCGTGGTGGCCTCCGCGGTGGACAGCTCTGTGGCTGGCCGCTCCTTGGTGTTCTGAGTGGCACTGCCCGAGCTGGATTCGTTGGAAGTGTCCTTGTCGGCCATGGGGCGCGGGGGCGGCGGCAGGGCTGGGGGCGGGGCCTCCTCCAGCTTCCCGTTGCGCAGTTCCTCCCGGGTGGCTTCTCCCGGTGGGGGTTTCTTGACACTCTGCTTCATCAGGGGGCTCTTGAGAAAGGCCAAGGTCTTGGCCTTCTTCTCCTTCTGGCCTTCAGGCCGGTGCTTGTGGACCCGGCTGCGGCTGGCCAGGGAGATGTGAATGTAGAGCACCGTCATGATGACCACGGGCAGGTAGAAGGCAGCAATGGCCGTGCCGAAGGTCACGGCCGGGTTGGACAGGAACTGGATGAAGCACTGGTTGTCTGGTACCGTCCTCTTGCCCACCACAAACTGCCAGAACAAGATAGCAGGCGCCCAGAGCACAAAGGGACAGGACCCAGGCAGCAGCAATCATGAGGCCCGCCATCTTGGTGGTTCGCCGGGCAGGGTAGGTGAGGGGCTTGGTGACGCAGAAGTAGCGGTCAAAGCTGATGATGAGAAGGTTCATGACAGAGGCGTTGCTCACCACGTAGTCCAGGGCCAGCCACAGGTCGCAGACCACGGCGCCCAGCGGCCAGTAGCCCTTGATGATGTACACGGTGTAGAGGTTCATGGAGAAGGCGCCTATGATGAGATCGGCGCAGGCCAGGCTGAACAGGAAGTAGTTGTTGACTGTCTGCAGCTGCCTGTTGACCTTGATGGACAGCATCACCAGGACGTTGCCCACCACGGTCACCAGGCTCAGCGAGCCCGTCACTGTGGCGATGAACACCATCTCCACTGTCTCGTAGCGGTTGTGGGCTGATGTGACCAGGCGCACAGACTGGTTGCTGGAGCTGCCATTGACTGGGGTGAAGTTCGCCATTTTGGTCAGCAGCGGTGGGCGGACAGTGGCTGGGGGGAGGAAGGAGAGAGAAGGGGGTAAACTGCTGCAGGGGTCCTGCAGAGGGTAACTGGAGTCGGGGGGCAGGGAGGACGCGAGAGCACTGTTCCCATCACCCCTCAGCTGTTCACGCCCTGAGAGTCCTTGGAGGCCCTATGACATGCCGAGCACTGGGGTCCCAGAGGTGACCCGTTAGTCAACTGGGTCCCCGTCTCACCAACCTAGTGTGTGGGGGGGGAGGGAGGCATCCGAACACAGGAGCCCCCACAAAGAACCAGCAAGAAAATAAGGCAGGCTGATGGTGGAGTCAGCCAGTCGCATAGGATGTGACAGGGCCATCAGGGCCAGTCTCCTCCAGGATGTGGTCTTGGGGCAGCCACATGAGGAGCTGCGAGAGAGTGGCCCAGTCAAGGGCAATGGCAAGAGAGGGGCTTGCATTCACCCACCGGGTCATTTCTCAACTACAAACATCTCCCGTCCTGACAGTAGAGACGATGGCAAAAACACAAGCGGAGCCATTAGCAGCCGACATACTAAGGGGCTGGCGCTTCCTCCGCCTCTGAGAGTATCCACTCACTGCAGCCGCCAGCCCGAGAGGCCTTTTTTTTTTTTTTTTTTTTTTTTTTTTCCCCTCTATTTACAGGTAAGGAAGCTGAGACGTAAAGAGGTTCAGGAACCTGACCAAGGTTCGGTAGCTTCTGGATGTCACGAGGGAGGCTGGCGGGGGTGTGCGTGGCGGGGGGACTTCTGGCAGAGGCTGAAGAGCTACAGGCGCGCAGGGGGGGGGCAGGGTGTGGCCTGGGGTGCTGTGCAGAAGGGGCCCAGAGAGGCACCTGCCGCCGGGGCATCCCTGTCCCAGGGCCCTGGGCGCCGTGCAGGTGCGGCTGGGGGCGGAGGAGTCCGAAGCCGGAAGTGCCCAGGCGCTGAGGAAGGACCCACATCTCAGAGGGGCTACTGCGGAGCCTGCGGCCAGCTCCTGGCGGGGAGGGGAGGGGCTCTTCCCCAGGCCCACAGCGCCCCTCCCACACCCCGAGCCTGCCCTGCCTCCCTCCCTCCCTCCCTCCCTCCCTCCCTTCCACCCAGGCTCCTCTTCAGTTCTCCTCCCCCTCTTCCTCTTCCATCCATGTGAGGAAGGCCCACGCCCAGCAGCCGCGCCAGGGCCACCGCTCAGCCCAGCCTCCTTCACACCCGCCAACACAAACGCCGTCGCACATACGCACACGGCCCCATCGCAGCCACGCGCAGGGTCGGCCGCGGAGCTCTGTGCGTCTGTGTGTGACAGAGAGGAAGAGAGGGCGGCGTGGCCGGCTGTGGAGGCAGGGGCGCCACCCCGGCAGCCTGGGCCGCTGGCAGGCAGCAGGGTCCAGCCGGGCTGCCTGGGGGAAGCCGCCACTGCCTCCTGCACCCTCTTTCTCAGCTGCTGTCCCGAGACAACCCTGGGGCAGCTCTCAGGATCAGACCTGCACTTGCTCCCCAGCGAGCAGATGCACAGGACACTGGAGGCAGTGCCAGGGCGGCCGCTGCCACACTGGCCGGGCCGGGCCCCCTGCTCCATCTGCACAGACACAAGACCCAGTCGCCCTGTTTCAGGCCTCCTGCTCCTGAATCCTTGGTTCACAGGAGGAGTGGCTGAGAAGGGGTGGTGACACCCCAAGGTCACGCAAGGAGCCAAGGGCAGAGACCAGATACGGCCCTCTCTGCAGCTCTGACCACCCCCTGAGCCTCCGAAATGGAAGTTCAAGTGCTGCCCTCTGAGCTGGGAAGACTGTCGCCCCGGCAGAGAGAGGTGCCTGCCCTCCGACAGGCTTCCACAAGCAGGTGCAGGGTGGGCAGGGGCGAGCTGTCAGCCAGCCCCAGGAAAATTCTCACCTTAGCCTCCCAGGGCCCACACACAGGCCAGCAGGCTCAGGGCCATGGCTAGAGGTGCCGGCTATGAAAACACGAGAGCTCTTGTTTATTGAGTGTTAACCATGAGTCAGGACTCTCTCTGCACCTTCCACAGCCTGAAAAGGTAGGTGCTTTGGTGTCCTCAGCTCCCAGTGGGAACAGCTCTCTCACAGACGGGGAGAGTGTTCATGAACTTGTCCCAAGTCACCCACTTTGTAAGGAGGGCCGGGGACGAGATCAGAACCCAGGACCCCTCACTTCACTTCAAGATGCCACTGCTCAGAGTTGAGCTCCTGCCTCTGGTCTCCCCGCTTCGGAACCACACCACTGGGACACCCAACCCGTTCCTGCCGGCTCCCCCGCTTTCCACAAGACATTTCTTGTCCCCGCGGCCAGACTCCGCCAGGACAAACAGGAGGCCAGTGGCTTAGTCCCATTCTGAGCCTGCCTTGGGCAGCTCCCCTGGCATCTTCCTGCACGTCTGGTTTTGCCGGCAGCCTGACCACAGCTGCTTGTCTGGTGCGTTTTGCCTGGCGCCGTGCGCACCGCTAGATGGCAATGTCGGTCCCCGGGTGCCAGCTCTGGAGCGCCCCGACCGACGTACGCCACCACCCCCCAGTTCCGACGCCACCTCGAATAGAGAAGGCAGCACCCACTCTCTCCCCCACTCCCCCGGCAGGGCCTTCCGGTGAGACACAAAAGGGACGCGGGGACCCCTTCGCCAGACGCCGGCCGACGCCGTCCCGGGGCTGCCCTCGGCGCTGCGCGGGGTTCCGGGGTGGGAAAGTTAAGGGCTCCCGACTCCACTCGGCACCGGGCGCAGAGCGCGGGGGCGGGAACGAGCGCGAGCTCTGTTTGTGTGTGACTCCCGCGAAGCGCGAGTAGACGCTAGTAGCTGTCTGCATTTGCACGCGCGGTGCGCACGGCCACGCCTGGATACCAGTGCGCCCGCGACCGCGTGAGCATGGCCGCGCCATGTGGACACGTGCACGTGCATGCGTGTGCGTGCCCGGGGGCAGCGGTCCGGACGATGCACGCGGTTCCGGTGTCTCTGTACATGTTTACTTTGCACAGAGGGAAGGCAGGGCCGACAGCGGGTGACCGGTTGCATCCAATGCCCCCGCTGGGAGACGCACTCCAGACCTTAGGCGTCTGTCTGAGAGGTCCAGGCCGGGAGCCGGCGTCCCGACGGGTGGGGAAAGGTCGAGGCCAGACTACACTACGGGCTGCGACGGACACCTGACTTTGGGACCCGGTTCCAGCCGGGCGCCTGGCAGTGTCCGCGTCCTCAACCGTGCGGCGCGGAGTCCCAGGCTTGTACCGACTTCAGTCGAGGGGGCCGCTGCGAGAGTCGCCCGACGGGCGCTTGGGGGACACCGGGCTCAACTCAGGCGAGTGGGCGCGGGCAGGACATCCGTAACGGGGAGGCCTGGCGCGGGGCTCGGGCCAGGCGCGGGTGAGATGTTTCCACTCCTCCACCGCTCGCCAGGCACCCCTCTCCAGAGGCCCTGTGCGGGCCCCAGCGGCCGGCCAAAGCGGCGCCGGTTTCTCGAGCCCTGGGCTCCGGCCCCGAAGGCCGGCTTGAGGCTTCCTCCAGGGTCCATCTGGAGCCTCTGCTCGTTTCCGCTGGGGTCCAAGGGGCTCCGGCTCTCCGCTGCCCCGCCCTCCCTCCTCCCCGCCTGGCACGCAGTTCCTGAAGCCTCCGGGCGTGGGCCCCGCGCTTCCCCCGGTCCTCGAAACCCCCCTTTGCCCGGCCGAGAGGGGAGGGGGGTGCTTTGGCGCCTGTGAAGCGGTTTGGGGCGGAGGTCCTCGGGTTTCAGGCGTTCCCTCCAAGGCTGTGGCCGCTGCCTGTCTCCCTGGGGCGGGAGAGAGACTCCGGAGTTCGCGGGAGGCAAAGGGGCGCAGGGGATTTGGCCCAACCCTACGTTGTGACGGACGCTTCGGCCCGCAGCGGCCGGAGCGGAATCTCCCCGGCTCCCAGCCTGGAATACAGCGGGGGGGCAGTCCTGGCGTGGGGGAGGGGCACCTGGAGCCTGCCGGAGCGCTTTCCGTCGGGGCTCAAGGTCGCTGATGGAAGACTCCCTGGGCCCGAGTGGGCTGGCAGCTCCCGGGCCCAAAAGAGAGGGGAGAGAGGGCGGAGAGGCCGGCGGGAGAAAGGCTCTCTGGGGCTCCATTCCCAAGCGCCCCGCATAGCCACTAAGGGGGAATGGAACCCGGGGTCCCGCCCCCGACGGCCGCCTCTGGCTCTGCGGGGGCTGGGGGCTGGCAGTGCCCGGCCCCTGACCTCCTGAACGTCCGTCCCCGCCCCGAGGCGCACCTGGAGAAGGCTTCGGGAGACCCCGGGCCTGTCTTTAGTGGGGACTCCCCCACCCTTCGGCCCTGCGCCGCTGCCAGCACCCCGGCGGCCCCTGAAGAGGTCTGATGCCCCATCCCTGTCGGACCCACCTTTGGGCCCTTCGGAGGGTCCCGGAATTCCGCACCCTTCTCTTCCCAGCGAGCGCCCCCACCCCCCGCGCGGCCGTGGAGTCCACTCACCCGCCACCTCTGCCCCGTCCCCTGGCGCCGGACAGACGGCGGGACACACGCGAGGCCCGCGGGCCGGCGGGGCGGGCAGCCGGGCCGAGGGCCGGGGGCGGGGACCGGGTGCCGAGGGGCGGCCCCTGCTCCGCCTGCAGCTCCCGGCGCTGTGGCTCCGACTCGCGCTCACGCTCGCACTTTTCCCCGAGCCGCGTGATGTCACGGGGAAGCAGCCAATCGTGGTGGGGCCCGGCCCGCCGCCCAGGGCCGGTCACCTAGCGGCGATGCACTGGGGTCACCACCCGGGGCTTCGGAGACCCCCAGCGGCTCGCGCCCTCCCTGGGGCCGGCGCGCGGCTCCCGGCTCTGGCACAGGGCGGGCACCGCCCGCAGTCGCCCGTGCTGAGGAGCTGGGGGCTCTGCCCTCCAGGGGGTGGGGGTGTCCGCGTTGTCATGGGTACGCGCGCCCCCTCGCGGGCTGGGGAGGGAGCTGGCAGCCGGGTCTGGCTGCGCTCCCTGCCTCGGCCCTGACCACGCACCCGGGACCTCGAGGTGTTCTCGCTCCTCTCGGGGAAAGCACCTCCCTATACCGTCCCGCTTGCAGACTGACCTCTGAGACGCTGAGTATTTGACCCCAACACGAGGGCATGGGTGGGTAGAGTGACTTCTGCCACCATGGCCCCGTCGGGGCAGAGCGCCAGGAGCTTCCAGCCTTGGGGCTGAGCGTTGGCTGCCCGGCAGCCCGAGAGGAGGGGCGCCGTCGGGCAAGGGGAGGCGCGGGAAGGAGAGGCCAGGGGAGGGTCCGCGGGGAGAGCACCTGCCTGTCACAGGCAGCACGCCTCCCCCACCCAAGCCTGCGGTTTCCCTGCTCCCGCGCTCCGGGCTGGGGAAGGCGCACCAATCCGCTCTCCCGTGACCGATCCAACCGCGGCACGGACAGCGAGTTCACCAAGAGGGAGAGTCAAGTGCACAAGGTCACCTGGGCGGAGTCTGGGACAGGACCCGGGAGAGCGAGCCGCCAGCCCCCGGACGTCGCGCCTTGGCAGCGCGCGGCCGAAAGTGGGTTTCAGCACCTCGGAGAGCTCGACCGCGGCTGTGGCCGGGCGGCCTCCGCCCGCGCCGCGCCGCCAGCCGGGCAGGAGCTTCACGCTCTCTCTCCAGACGGAACTTCGTGGACTGGCGAGCATCGGACGCGCCCCTCTGCGCCCGGACCCCGCGACCTGTCCCCTCAAACTCTGAACGCAAACACCCTCATTAACATTACGACGGCTGGTTCCTTCTCCTGGAAAAACAACTCAAATCTCGCTCCGCCTCCACCCTCCCTCCCCTGCTGGCGAGGGCCGCGTGGGGGCGGCGGAGGAGGGAGCGCAGAAGAGGCGGGGACCCGAGCAAGAGCCAGCGTGCGAGGACCTGGCTGTGGGGTTCGCCAAGCGCTCCGGAGGACAAGGGCTAAGACAGATCTGAGTTGGGAACTTAGGGCTGGAGTTGGCTGGCCGGACTAGAGGGAGAAGCCATCTTTGGGTCGCCCGTGATCTTCATTCCTGAAGGTGGAAGGAGCCCGTTGTCCTCGCCCCGCCACACCGAGGAAGAAAGCGGCTCATTTGGTTCTTGTGAGGATCCATGACAGTCTGGCATAAGTTCCACTTTGCCACATTCCTGCTAGGACCCCGGAGAGGGGGTGGTCTTGGGAGAGTGTAAGTGTGTGTGTGTGCGTGCAGGGGCAAGTCCTTAAAACAGTCACTTGGGGACAGCAGACTCCAAGGACTGAAGGCCACAGAAACCAGAAATGCTTCCAAACCGCTGTCGCGAGTTCTTCCACAAGCTGTGACGCAAAAGCCGCTCTAGTTTCTCCTGCAACCCCTGCCGCGGGGTGGGGCTTTCGACCTTTGCCACTGGCAGTCCCACAGTGGCACCTTGGAGAGCTGAGCTGAGCTGAGCTGAGGGTGGGGCACAAGAACTCGGTTGAGTCGCTCTGCTCTGCTCTTTGAACCAACTGTGTCCCTAGGCAGAACTGTTTATTTCCTTATGTCTAAAAGGGACTGCCACGTCTTGCCCACTCCCCCCTCCCCCCTTCCACAACCTTGTACTCAGGGGCCTGAACAGGTTTCCCAGTTGGGAGGCTCCATCACTGTGCAGGGTGCCCCAACAGGCAGAGGCAGGGCCAGGCAAGGCTAAAGCTGGACGGCCTTATCCACAAGACCTCTTCATATCCTTGTTCCCAAAGTTTCTCCTATACTTTGTCTTCCTTCCATGAGAAGTTATTCCAGTGGCCATGGTGTACTGCTCCGGAATCACCGATTTGCATGGGTTCAAACCCTGGCTCTACCACTTAGTTGTGTGGTGTGGAGGTAACAGCACTAACACTTCGGAAGCATTTGTGAGGATGAAGAGAACTTGACTCCTCTCCCCACTGGGAGATCAAGCCATTCTCCCCGCCAGCTGCCAAGGGAAGTCGGTGGATGGAGGAATGGAGGTTCCCTTCCCCAACCCTTCAAAGCTTACCTTAGGTGCTGCTTCTTTAAGATGCCTGCTGTAGCCACCCCCATGCTGCGTGGAGGGATTCGAGACTACAGACCTAGAGGCCACTTGAAGACGTCGTGTGGTACAAGGCAAAGTGAAGCCCAGAAGAGACAAGTGGCTGCCCAAGGTCACACAGCCAGCTGGTGACCTAGAAAAGTTGAGTGCTCTTAGCTATATAATTCTTCACACTGGTTTTCCGTTCCTGTCTGTGGATT